ACAACTAATCATGGATAGCTTTAAACTATTTAAATTTCAATGAGTCACAGAAAGTTGGACATTTTATTCTCTTTTATGGTTTTAACACAGTCACAATTTAGGTTTTAGGAATTTTTAAGATTTTACTGTAAAATCATCAACTTAAAGTGTGATGTTTGTTTGTCCAACAAAAACCCTGACTTTTCACAAAAGACATCCAAACTCCCATAGACCCACCAAATCTGAGCTCAAACATTTTTATTCAAACCTGGACATAAAGGATTTTTTTCATTTGTAATACTTACACTGAAAATACTGTAGAAAGAAAGTGGATGTGTGACGACTGGATGTTTCTGACTTGTATGATTTGGAAGTTTTGAATTTCTGTCAGCTTTTTATATTTTATGAAAAGCTTTTAGTAACGGCTTTGCTGTCTACACTTCATCTAAAGTTTAAACATCAAAGTGTCTCAATTTTGTCATCTAAGATCAATAAAGCAAGTCCCAGATTAATATTTCAATTCACAGAAGAAAGTTGGTGTTTGTTGGAGTCTCAGGCAATAGAAAGCTTATTTTTTATTTTAAACTTGTGGGATGAAATAAAAAAAAGTCCTTATTGGAGTGATTAATTTTGAAAGAAACGTTTCAGATCTGAAGTCAAAGTTTTTGTGTTGTACTGTACTGCACTGACCGGTGTATGGGATCTCCGTTTTTAAAAAGTGTCCCAGAACCTGAAACAGAAGCAAAGATGAAAAACAAGCAGTAAATTATGAGACAAAAACATTTCACTTATGTCAAAGATGCTAAAAACRCCTCTGCCTACAAATACAAACACGCTTCCCTCTCAGATTACAACCTAAAAATAAACAGTCATCCATCTGTTTACGTGTGTCCGTGGTCAGGAGCCACATTGGGTGAGTTCCTTGGCCTTACCTTTGTGGCTAAAAAGCTCAGTGAGCAGCGTGTCTGCTGAGGTGATCACAGCAGAAGAGTCGGTTGGAAGCTGATTGAGAAGTCTGGCGATGGTGGTCACTCTGCGGCGCTCTGTTTGACTCAGCCACTCCGCCGTAGACAGACCAGGCAAGTCGGCGGGCAGTGACACAGTGTCCAGCACCTGTAACCCATTTGGAACGTGCTGCTGATGAGTTGTACTAYATACGATGAGCTCATGATAAATATTTATTTTACACACAAGTGGATGTGGCATACCTTATATTTTTGGCTCCGCAGGCCCCCTGAGTTGTTCAGAAACATGACTTTGTGGGGCTGCAGGACTCGGGAGATAGCAGCTGTGACTTCCGTTGGGTCCAACATCATCGAGCAACCTCGCTCGTCCCTCCCCACAGGACAAACCAGCGGGATGGTCCCACAGTCCAGACTCCATTGAAGGAGGCAGGAGTCAACAGTAATTGAAGGAGGAGCACTGCAGGATAAAGAGAGAGAAATGATGAATACGTGAACACGGAGGTCTCTGGGAATGTAATAAAGTACGAGCTAAAAGCGAAAAATAAAAGTATTTAAAGGGAACATAAGTTAGAGAGGAAATAAAGTCTGCATCGTCTCATGAACCCATATTTACTTCACAAAGGACATAGTAGACGTAAAAATTTTGAAACAAAAAAATGTATCTTTGGTGGGGGATATGATAATTTTAATTCAATTTTTAATTTTATAGCAGCAACAAATCTAAAGAAAAAGACAAAAAATGACATTCTGACAGTCAGAGCTGAGGAGAACAGTTGATGGAGATTTTATTTTTTTCATGATGTGTCAAATGTTTTCAGTTGGTCAGGAGTCCAGACTACATTCAGGTCAGTTCAGGACCTGGACTCTTGTCATGCTGCTGTTATGGATGCAGTCTGTGGTTTAGCTGTCTTGCGGAAACATGCCAGCCGTTTTCTGAACAAATATGTCAGCTGAAAGGGAGCAGATGTTCTGAAACCTGTAGATACTTTTATGTTTTGATGGAGCGCCTTTCCAGATGTGTGAGATGCTCACATTAGAGTCACTAATGCACCCCCATACCATCAGAGAGGCGGGATCTTGAACTGTGCACTGATAACCAATATTGACATAATATCAGTGGTTTCCAAAAAGACATTCAAATGTAACCGTCTGACCACAGAACAGTTCTTCTCTGTCTTCAGTCCATTTTATATTATTTTTGGTTCAGAGAAGACAGCACCGATTCTAGACGATGTCCACGTATGTCTCCTTCTCTGTCTGATAGAGCTTTAATTAGCATTAGTGGATGCTACAGAGCTGTGTTTACAAACAGTGATGTGTGGAAGTGGACCTGAGTCCAGAAAATAACCAGACCTGGTTTTTAATGCAGTTGACCGTTTAATACTGACTTTCATCCTTTGAGCTCAGAGATTAATACTAAATTTAATAATCCTTTGATAATATGAACTTTAGGTGTTGTAATTTTCAAAATCTTTCTATTTCTCTGTTAAGGAACATCGATCTGAAACTGTTCCACTGGTTTTATCAGGTGTTTTTGTAGACAGGTCAGCCTCTGCCCATCTTTACTTGTGATCTGAGACTCAGCCTCTCTAAAATAGTATTTTTGCACCCAGTCCCTTTAAGACGTGTTTATATTTGTCATTATCTTCCATTTTTTATCCATTTGATGGTGATTAGCATGAAACACACGTCTGAACTGCCTCAGTGAGTGCAGAAAACCTTTTCWCTTCTTTCATCATCAAAGGCTGTCTGGACTATTTGTGCTGACATCTGGTAATCTGAACAGCAATCTGTCCAACAACCCTCCTGAACTGACCTGACCTCACACAGCCAGCTGAGCAGGCGTCTCACAGTACGAAAAACAAATACATATCTATATCATGTGAAGTGCAGATCATATCTGACCTGTTGCCAATTAATCTAATTAGCTGCAAGAAGATCTTCCAGTTGTATATTTGTACCACTTTTGTGGCCACTGTACCAACTGAGCTGAAATAAAATATATAAAATTCAAACTAACCTTTTTTTCATTGAATATTTCATTCTCAGGCATTTTATTCTTTTAAATAAAAAACAAAGATTAACATGTTGCCTTGAAAGTGAACAAGTAATTAAATAAATAAAGCAGGTAATGTCAGGTGCAGGAAGCAGCAGTGTCCAAAATGAATTGTCCAAAATATGTCAAATACCCCAAATGAGCAAATTCCGTGAGATTCCGTGTTTTATACAGCATTGCATTATGYGTCAATTTCGTGATTCTGTTTGTATTTTCCCCATTGCAGAAATCATGGGGTCCTACATATCTCAGTCTTATTTCAACTTATTTTTTCACCTGGGAAATTTGTCCACGTACCCCCTGTAATATGCTTGCGTACCCCTGGTTGGGAATCACTGGTGTAGTATAGTATAGTATAGTATAGTATAGTATAGT